AGGCCTATTCCTGTTTATAGAGCCCTCCTCTTCCCTCAAGCAGTGCCCCCCACCCCCGCCACACCCTGTCCAAACTCCTCACCCCTGCTGGCCTCGGTCCTGGACCAGACCTGACCCAGAGACTAGTCTCTGCACCTGTGGGTCCCACTTGGGGTCTCCTTCGCTTCTATTGTCCCCTCCTGCAAAACATTCAGTTCAAACAAAATCAGACTGACTCCCTTCCTCTCCCCCACACCTTCCCTGGGGATCTCCGCGGAACTCTTTGAGTTCCACAGTTTGCAAACCCCCAACTCACAGATCTAGGAGAGGCCAGAACTCAAATTCTGACTCCATGTGTGGCAGCCACGTACCTGGAGGGGTGTCACCCCATCTTGAAAGGACCCACTAACACACAGTGGGGCTCAGGAGAGCTCACGCATGGCCCTGTGAGATCCTCACACAGGCCAGGCCCCTTGGAAGGGCAGAGGGCTCCCCAAGGATGGAGACTCCCACAGATGGAGGCCAAGCCTTCCCACTGCCCCTGGCTCCTCCACAGGCCCTGCAGCTCTTCCAGCAGCCAGCATCTCCCTCTGTGGGGCCAGATCAGAAGTCCTCTTGCCAGAACCTGTTCTGGTTTCTGAGTTTTGGGGGTTACTCGGATATTCTCAGAAGCAAACCTGGACCCTGGCCTCCATCCTGAATCTTGGGCATGACTGGAAGTTGTGATGGGGGCGGGGCAGGGAGGAGGGTGGCCTGGGAAGACAGAGACTTGTTTCCCAGGCCTTGTGAGTGCCTTGAGCCAGAGACCTCCTTTAAGATCTAGAAGTTCTCCTGTGCCAGAGGGGGCGGCACAGCGGGGAGCTAGAAGTGAAGGCCTTCCTGGCTGTGAACTCAGGCAAGTTACCCAGCTCCTCCCAGCGCCAGTGTCTCCACCTTAAAGTAGGGCAAAGTCAAGAGCAAGAGCTCCCAAGTGTTAGCTTATTTAGCCTTCACCTCGGAGCCAGGTGGCTTGTGGTGTGCAGGTCACAGGACTGCAGCCAGGGCGACTGTCAAGGGCTCAGAGGATGCCTGCTAGTAGGAGGAGCCCTTCTAGAGCCTGGCTCTCACTGAGTGGCGTTGCTGAGTTCCAAAGGGCCAATCCGTAGCCAAACCTGTGGGCAGGGTAGGGAGGTGCAGGTGGAATCAAGTAAGGATTGCTAAGCACCTACTGTGTGCCAGACCTGGAGATGCAAGTCTGAACTAGGCAACTCAGGCACAGAGCTGCCGGCTGAGCCTTCCCCTCCGCCTTTGCCGCCCTGGCAGAGCCAGGAAGCGGGACCAAGGGCTGAGAGGGCTGACTGTGGTGGGGTGATGGGAGGTGAGGCCTGGGTGAGAGGTGAGCAGGGCAGGGTTATCTGGCTTCCAGGCTCCTCTGAGTTGGCCTGTGTCTGTGTGATAGTGTGAATCCTCTCACTGGCTCTCATTCATCAGACACTCCAGACACACCTTGAACATGGCACGACCATTTAATGTCATGAGCCTTGCTCAGCAGCAGAGCTAGCTTGGGCATGGCTCTTATTGTCCCTGTGCCTTGGTTTGTCGTTTGTAAAGTGGGGTGACCTCAGCGTGCTTTGCAGGGCAGTGCCTGGCATGCACGCAGTCTGGTTGAGCTCTGGGGTTACTGTCCTTGTGACAACTGAGGTGCTTCAGCTGCTGGGGAGACAGTAGAGACTGAACTTGGGGTGTGTGCGTCAGGATGGGGCATGTCCAGAGTGCTGGGTGGGCAGGGGTGAGTCCAGCTATGTCCAAGGGAGTCAGGAAGGCTTCCCGGAGGGATGGAGTGGCCCCTGGGAGTTGCGCTGGGAGGGGGCAGCGTCAGATGCCTGTGTGGGTGAGGGTGGCAGAGGTAAGGGGCTGGAGTGTGCTGGGTGTGGTTTGAGTGCACAGATAGGCCTGGGGAGGGCGACTAGATGGATACACTGTGTGCTGGCCAGGAGGTAAATGGTGCATCAGAGCGCCCCAGAGAAAGCCTAGCCAGAAGTGGGGGTGAGGATTGGGCAGCAGCTCCTCCTCTAGGCTTGGGTCTCCCTGTGACTGGTGCCTCTGCGGAGCAGTAGGTGGCGCTGCTGGCCTGCCCAGCCAAACATCCCCCTCTGCCCTCTGCCCAAGGCTGTCAGGGCAGAGCGGCTGCTGCTGCCAGAAGTCTCCAAACTGGCAGGAGCCTTCGGAAAGGTAGGCCTTGTTTGCTGCCCGTTTCATGCCCAGAGCCTGTCCTAGGATCTCCTTGATAGCTTGCGTCCCGAGCCTTGTATACCTCCTGAGACAGGGCACTCATTACCTGTCAGAGCACCCCCAGCCATCTGTGGCCAACTCTAGCTGTTCAAAAGTGACACCTGGCTAGTAACACCCACCCTAACCCTGTGCTTTGAGAGCTCCTCTGAAGCCACCTGTCCCCTGGGCCTGTGGCAGCCCCTCTGGGAGGGGACTCGATTCCTGCATCCCTTCCCTTATAAGCATTACCCTAGACACCTTGTGAATCCCCAGTACAATGTCAGGGAAGAGCTAGTTAAATCTTCAGAATCTGGCACCTGGTAGTGGGCCTGGCACACTCCAGGCACACACAGGAGAATGAGTGAATGAATCAATGAACAAATAAATGAACACTGTGTGGTCATTATCTCCTTATTACAGTTGGGGTGGGGGAGGTGTAGGAGGCTCAGAGAGGTCAAGTTATTCATCCAAGGTCACACAGCTCATCGCTGGTAGAAGTGAGATTTTAACCAAGGTAACTGCCCAACCCAGAGCCCACTGGGCCCCATACTCTTCAGCTCACACCCACTGGGTCCCCCCAGTCCCTGGGCCCCAACTTGGGGTGCCTACGGGTCAGAATTCCATAAGATTTGGGGATGGGATTTCCAGAGGCTGGGGACCTCAGAATCCCGGAGAGTTTTGAATCTCAGAGTTGGAATGTTTCCCTCTTTGCTCTCTGGGATCTCTGGTGCCCTGACAAGCAGAGGGCAGCTGGCCTGGCCCTACATATCCTTCAGGGATGGGACTCTCACTCCTTTTTTTCTTTTTTTTAAGATTTATTTATTTATGTATACAAGAAGTGGGGTGTAGGCCAGAGGTGTGGGGATGAGGGGGAGGTGAGAGGATTCACCAGAGACAGAGTGGGGAGCCAAACAAGCAGATTGACTGAAATACACTGCTGAGGGGAGCAGAGGGCGAGACAGGAGGGTCTGCTGCACCATGTGGGTAGCTCCCTGGCCGGCTGGGGATTGAACTGGTGCTGCAGTGGCTGGTGACAGCTTCATAGCGCTGTGTCTTTAACCCCTGCGCCACCAGGGACACCTTCTAATTATGTTGAGTGAAACTTTGTCCTCTGGACTTCCTTTCAAAGGACTGAAAACCAGTCCAGATCCTTCTCCAAACACCTCCACATCATGACTGGTACCCAGAGTTCCTCCCCACCCACCTCCAGCTCTTTCCCCTCCTGGCTCTGTTCGTCCTGGTTTCAGTTCCGTTTTTCTTAGGGGGATTGTGCCAGTTTCAGCTCAATTCAATTTCTATCTCTGGATGGCAGCCCCCACGCTGGGTGTGGGGATGTAGGGCTCAGGAGGAGAGAGGCCAAGGGCAAGGATGTCCACATGCCCCGGGCCCTCTTGGCCTCAGTTCCCCATCTTGTAAGTAGAGAGATTGACAGCACCTACTTCAAAGGGGCACTGAGAAGAAAGGAGATAACCAGTGCCTACTGTGCCACACCTGGCATGTGGTCAGGGCTTACTGTTTCTCCCTCTCCCCTTCAAACACCTGCGGGGGTGGGAGGATACGCTCAAAGGCATGGGAAACACAGTCATTGACTCAAGACATTTGTATTGCACACCCACTGTGTGTCAGGCCGGCTCACCCTCCGCTGGGCCCCTCCAGTTCTGTCCCTCATCTCTCCACCGGCCCATGGCTCAGACTTCCGAAAGGCTGGGGGCACAGCAGTGAACCACCATGTCCCTCCTCCACTGCTTGCCCTGGCGCCCAGGAGCCGGTGGTGGGGCCTGAAGGTGCAAGTGGAGCGCTTAGAATGGAAGATGCCGATAAGGGACAACACAGCGTCCACACAGGCCCTGCTTCCAGACCGCCTGCACGGGAAGGAGGGGTGCGCTCCACCGCGCCAGTCTCAGGGAGTTGGGGTGTCTCTCCTGCGGTCACACAGCCGGCGGGGCAGCCCTGCCACCCCGGGTCTGCGGCGTTGCCTCTGCAGACGCAGTGACGGGGCCGAGACGCCCACACCCCTCATGCGCCTAAGGGAGACCGAGGCCCGCGCTGGACCGAGGCCGCCCCGCCATCGCGTTCTGGCTGCCTCAGAGCGCGCGGACCCGCAGGAGCTCTGGCCCGGCCTGCAGCCAGGCTCGAGGAGCGGGTGGGGGGACGCCTGGGGGCGCGGTGTCGAGCAGCCCCAGGGAGCGAAGCCCGGCGCGACCACACAGACGCCGCCCGCCCCCTGAGATCCACGGACGCGCCGGGCCGGTCCCCGCGCTCGGGCGCGGGATCCCCCCCTGCCAGACCTCGCGGCGGCCGGCGGAGGCCCGAAGGCGGGGTCCCCGCGCTCCAGAGCGCGCTCGCGGCGCGGCCACCGGCCCCCTCCCGCGCGCCGCGCTGCTCCCGCGGCCCCCACTGCGGCGGGGCGGCGCGGGCCGGGGCCGGGGCGCGGGGCGCGGGGCGCGCGGGGGACCCGGAGCGCGGTCGGGGGCCGGGGCGGGCGCGCGGGGGGTCCCGGGGGCCGGGCGGCGGGCGGCGGGCGGCGGGCGGCGGGGGGCGCGCTCCGGCCCGCCCCGCCCCCGCGCCCCTCCTCCTGCTCCGCCCGCGCTGGGGGCGGCCCGGCGGCGGCGCACGCTTCCTGCGGGCGCGGCCGCTGTGGGCGCGGAGCTGCGAGGCGGAGCCGGCCGCGGAGCCGGAGCCCGAGCCGAGCCGCGCGTGGGTCCAGCCGCCGGGCCGCGCCGCCGCCGAGCAGCCGCCCCGCGCGCCGCGCCTCGGGAACAAAGGCGCCCGCCGCCGCCGCCATGAAGCCTGGGCCGCCGCACCGCGCCGGGGCCGCGCACGGGGCAGGCGCCGGGGCCGGGGCCGCCGCCGGGCCCGGGGCCCGCGGGCTGCTGCTGCCGCCGCTGCTGCTGCTGCTGCTGGCCGGGCGCGCCGCGGGGGTGAGTGTCGCGCGCCCGGACCCCGCGCCGCCCCCGGCCCCTCCCCCGGGCCTGGCGCCCCTCGGCTGCGCGCCCCCCCCGCCGCCTGCCTCCGGGGGCGCCCCCCTGGCCGGCCGCCTCGGGGGACGGGCGCCCCCGCTGCCGGGGCGCCTGGTTTGGGTGCCCGGTTTTCCCTGCCCCTGGGGACCCCTTCCCGGAGGGAGGCCAGGGCGGGAACCCGAGCGCGCGGGGCGTCAGCGCTGCGCCCCCGCCCCAGCGGCTCGGGGGAGCGGCCCCCTCCGGGGCGGAGCGGGGTCCCGGCCCCGCTCGAGAGGCCGGGGGGCCTGACGGCCGGCGGGGGGTCGCCGGGCGCGGGGCCCGGGCTGGGTGTGTCTTGGGTCTCCATCGAGCGTGGGTTTGGCTTCGTGGGTGTGCCCAGATCGCGGCCACTTTTAGGAAATCGGGTCGGTTCCCCCTGCTGGGGAGGGTGTGCATTCGGCTCTGCGCGAGGCCGGCGAAGGTAGTGGGGCTCCAGAGAGGGGGAGGGGTGAGGGTGACTTGTGTGAAGGTGACCCGAGAGGGTGAGTGAGGGTGACCCTGTGTGTGTCCACCTCAGTGAAGAATACTGGGACCTGTGGGGTGTGCGCCCATGAAGGACGAGGAGCGAGGACGTGCCCACCGCATGGGTGGGTGTGTGGTGGTGTCAGGTTGACCCAGTGTGCGTGGTGTGTACCCAGCCGAGGGACCGGGTGGGTGACTGCTGGCCATGGCTGCCTGTGCCTGCAGGGAGTGAGTGTGTGGGGGAGACACCTCTGTGGTGGGCGTGTGCTTGGCCCCGGGAGTGTGTGCGCCTGCGTGTGTGTAAGTGCATGCACGATGTGCATGCAGGTGCGTGGGTGATCCTGTGCAGAGGGCATGGACCCCTGAGGGGATCCGAGAGTGTGCAGGTGGAGGTGTGTGTGTATGAGGTGACCGCTGAGTGTCCCTTTGAGTGACCACAGCATCTGTAGGGTTAACCTGCCACCCAGCTTCATTAGGGGGAGCAGGGGCAGGTGGGTATAAGGAGGAGCCCCTTTGATGGCACTGAGTCCTAAGTGAGTTCCCCTGTGGGCATGTGTCCAGGCCTTCAGCTGAGGTCGGCTGAGGCTTCTAGGCTCATCCTCCGGGTTGGTTCCAGTGGCCATGCCTGCTGCCCCTTTCCTCAGGCTATAAGGACCCAGGCCTCTCAGGTGACCCGGTACACACCCTGCCCCGCAGGTCTCCCTGGGCCTGAGTGGCAGCCTGTATAACGGGAGGCAGGGGCTTGGAGGTTGCTTCTTGGACTGGGGAACTGCCCATCAGCCGTCCCCTTCTGTGGGCAGCGAGCTGGGGAGAGGGAGGGCGAAACCCCAGGTTCCACTGTGCCCGGCTGTCTGGATGCCTCAGTCCTGACTCTCCCTGAGGTGGGGAGAGGAAAGGGGTTTCCTGGGAGATCCAGCCCACCCTAGAGGCTGGGTCACTTTATCAGCTACACTGTAGTGGAAGACAGTCTTTGCAATCAAAGACTTGGAGATCACACAGCCTTGGGTTCAAATCCTGCTACCACTACTGATTCTTGGTGTGACCTGGGCCAGTGATGAGCCACTTGAGTCCCCACTTCTCTGCAGAATGGGACTGATGACACTGTCCTCAGAGATTAGACCAGATGATGTGTGATGTGAAAAGGGGCTTCGGTCTGGCAGGAACCTGAGCTGTGTGACCCTGGGCAAGTCACATCCCCTGCTGAGCAGCTCTTTCTTATTCATGAAACAAGGCTAATTCACGCCCCAGGAGGTGGTGGAAGGAACTCAGTGAGGGCATCATGAAAGGCCTGGTGTGCAGTAGGGCCTCAGGGAGGTGGTTGCCCCTTGGACCTGAGGTCCAGATAGAGTGGGTGGGGTTCAGACCCTACACGTGGTGGAGATAAAGCAAGCCTATGGTCTGGGCTCTGGGGTCTGGTCGCAGAGGCTCTTGGTAGGCTTCCCTTGGAGAAGGAGGGCAGGGCTCCAGAGCAGGTTGGGGAGTCCCTCTCCTGGCCTCATGCCCCCCCACAGAGGACAGACTGGGGAGGCAGAGGGCTAAGGGGTAGTGCCCATGCTACAGCAGAGGAGGAGGGTGATACCTGTGGCAGGAGGGACAGCCCAGGAGAGCCCCAACCAGGATGGCTCTAGGGGTGACCTCCATGTGGGGGTCCTCTGAGGACATCACTGGGATAGGCCGTGGCTGGCTCAGGGCAGGGGAGGGACAAGATAACCCCTAGGTCTGCCCACCAGCCTGAAAGGGAGCATGTGTACCTGGTGAGGGTGGGAGACCCAGGGTCTCAGTGGGGATAGTGGTCCCATTCATGCTGCAGATGGTGACTTGTGGTGTGTGTGTCTCTCTTGGCATTTGTTTTGAGGAATCTTCTCTTCTGAGAGATCAGGTGACTAGGACTCTGAGGGACAACTGCCTTCAGTGCTACCTTGGTCACCACCTACAAAGTCTTTAAGAGTATGGGAATCCTGGAAATTTTAGCTTGGAAACATGTTCTTTTAGAAGTTGGGTCTGGAAGGATTATAGGTGTCAGTCTTGTTTGAATATTCCCAGTGATGGGAGTTCACTGCTTTGTGGCTGTGTGACCTTGTGACAGTTACTTAACCTCTCTGTGCCTTCATTTCCACCTCTGTAAAATGGAAAGAATATGAGAATGAAAGCCATGCTATGGAAAGCTCTTAGCTCAGTGCCTGGTACATAGTAAGCGCTCAATACATGTTGATTTCTTGTTCTTTTGCAAGGTTGGAATTCTGTCCTTGGGAAGTGGTGGGGATCTCCTCTGGAAGCTTGAGGGAACCTGGGGGGAGAGAGGGGAAGTCAACTGGGTAATTCTTTTGAAGCCCCACCCTGGAAGTGGGGCTGCTGGTGGTCCCTGCTCCCCTATTTCAAGGTCCCTCCCTACTCCTCTCTCCTCTAGCTCTGGGTGACTGTGAGCCTTTTTTTAGAAGGACAAGATTGTCCTCACTGTAAGTATGAAAAGTTGGGGACCCTGGGACTGATCCTAGCCAGGTCCCAAAACAAACACCATAGGGCCTCTGGGGAGGGTCCCCTGCCGTGTGATTGTGCATGAGGGATTTTCTTTTGTTTCAGCTTCCTCATCTGTAAGATGGGAATAGTAGCAGTGCAGGCCTCATAGGGATGTCGTGAGAAGAAAATGAGCTCCGGGGGTGGACTGAGCACAGCCTGCCCCATAGAGAGTTCTTGGATAAGGCCTTTCTAGGAGGGGTTAGGGAAGGCTTCCTGGAGGAGGAGGTTTTGCTCTAAGGTACAGGGGCAAGGTGTAACTTGCCCTGACCCTTCACTCTCTTACCTGTCAACTGTGAACTTGCAGGACTGTTAAGGGTGCACAATATCTTCCAGGAAGAGTTGGGATTGGAATCCCCCTGTTTTCTGCTCCCTGGGGAGTAGCCTGGTATCTCCAGCTATGGATTTGGTGTGCTTTTTGTTCTCTAGTGCTAGAGATGGGTGTGGGATTGAGCTCTACTGGAGGAAAACAGTTAGGCTTTTTGAAAACAAATGGCTCCTTCCACCTCCTGGATTGGGATTTGGGGTCCCTGGGGCCCCAGGGCAGCTCTAGGCATGGGCTCTGGAAAAAACCTGGGTAGCAGAGGGGTCATTCTGAAGGGGAGACACAGCTCTCCCCAGAAATCAGGTCCTGGAAGCCTCTCTCCCACCTCTCCTATTGGAGCTGGGACCTCTCCCCCAAACTACTTGGGGAACAGAGATGGATCATTCCAGAAGGGACTACAAGAGGATTCCTGAAGGCTGGAGCAGACTGTAGGCAGCTGGGGTCAGGCAGTGGTGAAATCTTCACCCCCTGGCCTGGCGTGGCCTGAGGGCATGATTTGGGAGACAGCCTTCATCCTCCAGCTGCTGTTGCTGGATCCTGGCTTCCCAGCGTTTTGTATATTGGCTCGTTTAATCCCAGGATAATCTTTTATGGCAAGGATTATTAGAACCCCCATCTTACAGATGAGGAAACTGGGGCACAGAAAAGTTGAATGTCCCTCAAGGTCACACAGCTGGATTGGCCCAGGGCCTGGCAGACCAAGTCCACCCGCCCTTACTGTGTGACTTCCAACAAGTTACTTCAACCTTCTGGGGCCTCACTGGCCCCTGCTCCCTAAATTCTGCCCACATTACTATTACCTGTTTCATAAGTGCCTGCTTTTTACCAGGCTCTGGGCCAGGCATGTCCATATCTTACCTCATTTAATTCTCCCCCCTGACTTGGGGGTGGGTGACATTCTTCTCCAAGAATGCTCTTCCAAGCCTCATGGGGCTGTCCTCCGTGGAACCAGCTACTGGGGCGCTCATGGGAATGGATGGAGAGAGCTTGCTGACTGAAGGAGTGTCGGTGAGACTGTGCGTGTGGGGGGCTCTTGTCTGGGTCATGTGGTGATGCACAGGAGATGGGAAGCATCCAGACCCTCAGCTTGCGAGGAGTCTAAAAGGCCTCCATCTCCCTGGACTTGCTCTGAAAGTCTTGTGCATTGAGGCTCACTCCCTGCAACAGTGACCCTGCCTTTAACCCTCTCTGCCCAGTAGAGATTTGTGTGGAGTCCAAATCTAAGTTCCTGCTGCCCCATCCCTTAGTCCTGGCCTCTTACACCTAAGGCTCTTTCTGGCCTCAGTGACTGAGGCACAGAGACTGGGGGTGATTTGGTGAAAGTTGCACAGCAGTCAGGAGCCATATCAGAAATTGTTTTTTTGTTTTTTTTTTTGCTAGAGGCTGAGCTCCCTGGGGCAGGCTCTGTGGCTGCCTTATTCTCCATGAAGCCCTAGAGCCCACTTTGTGCCTGGCCCAGAACTGAGTGGTCTGAATGAATGAGAAGTGAATGAATGAACGAGGAGGAAGCCAGGACTTGGAGCTTTGGTGCCCAGGCCGAGGCTTTGTGTTCTCTCCCGTGGAGGTGGGCTGGGGACAGTGAGGCTGGCAGAGTCCTGCTGGGTCAAAGACGTGTGCCAGC